CTAGAACTAGAAATACTGTATGACCCAGCCATCCCACTACTGGGTGTATTCAAAAGGATTATAAATCATGCTGCTATAAAGACACATGCACACGTATGTTTATTGCGGCGCTATTCACAATAGCAAAGACTTGGAATCAACCCAAATGTCCATCAGTGACAAGACTGAATTAAGAAAATGTGCACATATACACCATGAATACTATGCAGGCCATAAAAAAGGATGAGTTTGTGTCCTTTGTAGGACATGGGTCAGCTGGAAACCATCATTCTCAGCAAACTACTCAGAAACAGAAAACCAAAGATTGCATTGTTCTTCACTCAAGGTGGGAATTGAACATGGATCACTTGGACACAAGAAGGGAACATCACATACCGGGGCCTATAGTGGGAGGAAGAAGAGGGAGGAAGGCATTGGGAGTTATACCTGAAGGTGTAAATGACGAGTTGATGGGTGCTGATGAGTTGATGGGTACAGCACACCAACATGGCACAAGTATACATATGTAACAAACCTGCACTTTGTGCACATGTACCCTAGAACTTATAGTATAATAATAATAAAACTAAATACTTTTCAAACACCACCTAGTGTTTGCATGTCATTTAATATACTAAGTAAATTTTAAAGAGACAAAGAAGGAACAGCATATGATAAAGTTAAAGGGAAAATGAGAGAAGGCTTCCTGTCAATTGTGGCAACCTCTGCAGAATAATAAGCTACTCCATCCTCATCCAGCCTGATCATTGCTCATCCTGCAGACTCCTAGCTGCCTGTTCAGCAAAACATCTAAACAATGCCTATCCTAAAAACAATAACGATATCAATGCAGACACAGAGATGAAAATATTTATAATCTAAATAAAGCTGATAAAAGCATAAAGTCTGTAGCATTTTGGTTAACAAAAGGGAGTTCAAAAGCAAAGCTGAAATATTTATTACAGCAAAATTAGCAGTAATGTCAACATGTTACACATAAAGGTTCACATTTCAGGGTTGTTGTTTTTTTAATAAATCAAGCCAAATTCCATTGCACCCACTAAGGGAGGAGTAATTATAACACAACTTTTGTGTTATTCTGTAAAGATAGATCAAATTAGAAAAACCCGTATCATATACTCACAGGACCCCATGGTCCTACTTGCCAGGAAGCACATGTATGAAGTTCACATGGACTCAGAGATTCAGGTTTGGTACTTGAGTTACAGAAGTCATCACTCAAGTGATCTTCATTCAGCTGACACCATACCTGCCGCTGCTTTATTCCTTTACCACATGTAACAAGGCACTGTAAGAATACAACTGATCATTATTTATTTGTAGCATTAGTCAACACAAATGCCTTAAAATGATGCAACGATCAATTTGCATAGGAAAATACAGTTGAAAAACCATTCCCAAATGCATTTTCCCTCACTGCTCCAGAAATATTCACTGGGTAAAATCAGCCTGCCCCTAACTTCTGCTGCTAATTCCCACTGAAACATCCATTTATCCTAGAAACAAAGGTGCAAAACTAACCTTAGAATAAGTATTCATCCCAGGCTGCTGTGGACCCTGGCACTTTCTTATGCAAAGGCTTATAGATTAAATATCAGTTAGTGTTATTGCTAGTCAGATATTGTAAATAGTATAATGACAAACTATCTTGTACATTTCTTTTTTCTTTGAGACAGAGTCTCACGCTGTCACCCATGCTGGAGTGCAGTGGCCAATCTCAGCTTACTGCAGTCTCTGCTCACTGATACCTCCACCTCCCAGACTCAAGCAATCCTCCCACCTTAGCCTCCTGAGTAGCTGGGTCCTCCCACCTTAGCCTCCCGAGTAGCTGGGACCACAGGTGTGTGTCACCACACCCAACTAAGTTTCACTATGCTGCTCAGGCTGGTCTCGAACATCTGAGCTCAAGCAATCTTCCCACCTCAGCTTCCCAAAGTGCTGGTATTACAGGCATGAGGCACTGTGTGCCTGGTCTGTCTTGTAAATTTCTGATTGCCTTGATAATGGTTATTTACAAAATGATGAAATAAACTTAAGCACTTTTAAATTTTGTAAAGTCTTAGATTACAAAGCTGTACTAACACCATATTTTAATAGTTCCAAACCTCATGTGTTTAATGTACCTCGCTCCATTCACTAGCAGCCCAACTGGGACAGGAAAATTCATTGCAATTCTCTCTCGTCACTCGGGACAGTTCTTCGCATTCATTGTCAGCAAGACGATGGCCAAAGTTATTCATACAATAAGATTCTCGAGACCTTTCCCCTCCTCCACAACTCCTGGAACACTGATTTAAAAAAAAAAAAAAAGTGGTAACTAATGGAAAAAAATCAGATTTTCAACAAAACTGTACTTTAGAGTAACATGAATATGTAATTAGAAAAAAAAGGGGCAACATTTTTTAAGCAATCATTTTTATTGTACCTGAGACCATTCTGAAAAATGCCATCTTGTGAAGACACAGTTACCACGGCATAGTTCTCGGGTAGGAGGTTTAAGTTGGTCACCACAGTAGTGGTCATCCACTTGAACAGTCTGTCCTTCATGAATGGAATACTTCATGCAATGGATGTCCAAGGTTCTATATCCTTGACCACATTGGGTTGAACATTCACTTTTGCCAGTAACATGCCACCTTGAAAAAAGATGTTATTATACTTAGGAGGTATATTACATAATTAAAAACAGGTTCAAAGACACTCATGCATTCAGTTTTTAAAATTCTAAGAGTTGATGGACAAATCACCAGGAAGCCAGCATTGTACTACTGACCTCATGCCAGCATTTAGTGGCAGCTTTGGAGGTGCATCCAAGGAACCCAGGCTTCCTCAAAAACCTTTGAAAACAACTGGTTTAGATCATGATTACCCAATTACTTAGCAGCAGATTTAAGACAATAACTGTATATATCTGACTCCCAATCAGGTAGTTTCTCCCTATGCAATCCCTCTATAAGTATTTTGATTTTATGACCAGGGAATGTCTAGGAATTTGACTACATCGATAAAAATGAAGCATTTAAAAAGTTAACTAGTTTTTGTAAAGTACACCATACTTTCTCATTAATTCATGTAATCTATATTTAGACATGTTTCCAGGGAAAACATGTTTTCCACAAGTAAAAATGTTAGTTATAGCCAAATTATCCCAATTGTAGTCTAGCATTCATCAATGTGAGGGCACCCGAATAACAAAACACAGAATTCACGAAATTCATTTTCATCCCTAATTGCATTTCAAGAATTTCACTGTGCTTCCTTTTACTACTATGTAGTGGATTCAACTTACACAGGCAGTTCTACTACTGTGCTTTTGCTGTGTCGTCAAACATCATCATAAATATATAGAAATTCTCATCAAGTGAAAGAGGTTCTGGCCATACCTGAATGTTAAAAGGTACCTGCTACAATGCTGAAAATAAATGTATAAATATGATAGATGGACTCATTGTATACCATGTCACTCCAAGATCAATCACGCACACACACACACACACACACATACACACACAAAACCCAAATAACAAGAAATTTAAATTAGAAGTATAAACTTCCTGTCATGATCTAGGATCAATTTCCCTGAAGTTTAATGGACAAAATACTGATAGAATATCAAGGAAATCAATCAATTTGATTTCTCCAATTCCCAAACTTCAGAAGTTTACTGGTTCATTAATTCAGTGGAAAATAACGAATCATGCTACAAAATTTACTGTTTCAGACCTTTAAATCATCCGATTACAATTTACTTGTATTTATTTACAGACAACATTGCAACCTTTTTCTACACAAAATGTTGAGGCCTATATACTGGTATTCAGAAAACACTATGAATGAAAATTCAAATCAATTATGTACTGAGTTTTACTATAAATTAGTGAGCCTGAAATTTTTTCATGGCAGGGCAGATGATGAGTAATAATTATATGTCCACTCTGTGTCAGTCACTGTGTTAGACATTTTAATCTTAGCTCACTTATTAATCTGGTTATATTACATATTATTTCTCTTTTACCTTAGTTCACAGTCTGTATTGCAACTTTGAGTAACAAATGATGGAAGTGGCAATTGGTCACATTTTTGATCAGACACAACACTATGATCACTCTTATGTATGCAAGTTATTTTTCTTCGCTGAAGACCTTGGCCAAAGTCAAATGAAAATAAAAAACGAAAGAAAAATTCACAGTTAGATGTTCCATAATTATGTAATTCTGCTAATAGCTTAAAGGAGCCAGCTAAGCAAGTAAAAATTTCCAATGCAACATACAGGATATACCAGTATATTAATCTAGTGAGGAATGGCTTTTTATAATAAGTAAACTGAATCCTGAATGACTGAGGAGTTTGCTTAATGAAGAGATGTACAGAAGATGGGACAGGCATTGGAATAAAAAGAAATTCACTACAGTAGGATAGAGTGGTTGTTGGTGAATAATTGAGTAGCTGAGGACAATGCTGTTGCTATACAGTACACTATAGTACTGTCATCCATCAGCTACCTCAGCTACTCCCCTTTCCCTGCAAGAGGATTACACATCTCTATTGCTACAATGTTACAGTAGCTTCCTGTAGGAGAAGAACTCTTTCCTGTCCATCAGCATCAGGCTTTTTATCAACTGATTGAAAAGGAATATGACCTATTCCAGTCCCACCCAGCTCTCTTTCCTTTTTCCCTCTGCCTCCAGAACATCATTTCCCAGATAGAACTGATCTTTCTGCCTGGAAACATGAAAGAAAAAGGCATAGATGACAAAAAGATCAGTGTTTGTCACCGGTTGTGGGGGAAGGAAGGAAGAATAAATAGATGAAGCACAAGAGATTTTTAGGGCAGTGAAACTACTATGTATGATATTATATTGGTGAATACATGTCATTATACATTTGTCAAACCCAGAGAATTTTCAACACAAATAGTAAACTCTAATGTTAACTATCGAGTTTAGTTAATAATAATGCATCAAAATTGGCTCATCAATTGCACAAATGTGCCACACTAATGCAAGATGTTAATAATAGAGGAGTGTGGAGGAGAATGGCAGAGGGAAGATGGATAAATATGCAAACTTTCTGTACTTTCTACTCAATTTTTCAGTAAACCTATAACTTCTCTAAAAAAATAAAGTCTATTGAAAAAAAAAAAAAAAACATGGACACAGATACCAACTTGGAGTAGAGCCATAGCAAATTAGCAGCCAAAACATGATATGAGCAATAAATAAACCTTTATTGTTCCAAGCCATTAAGATTTGGTGGTTGTTTGCATGCAGGATAACTACAGCAAAAGCAAACTAAGAGAAGCAGTCATAACTGACCAGACTCATTTGAACTTTATGCTTTCTGCAATAAGGAGACAGTAGAGTTTAAGCAGTCAGTGACATGAACAAATTTCTGTTTTATCAAAGTTCAACTTTGTGCTTCCACTTAACTAAACATGATCATATATGTTATCTTTGCTCCTTCCTAAATATCTTTTGAAATAACTATGAGAAATTCTGAAAAGGCACAAACCTAAAAGAACAAAAAAAGAAAAGAAAAAAGAAACAGCAAGAAAAGGAAATTTTGAATATGAAAAGTAGATGGAAATAACTATTTAACAGAACCAAGGAAGATGAAACCTAAGCCTGCAAAGTGGGAAAGTAAATCACAAACAAATCATTCATGACACAGAACCCAAGAAAGGCCCAGGAATGGAAAATAGCAGGTTCCTCTGACAGAGTGAATGTGTGAGGGGTAGGCCTGAAATAATAAAGAATTAATTGAAAATTATTTTAAAAGAACGGTTAGACTACTAGCTTCCTCGTTGAGAGCAGCACTGTTCAATGAAAGCAGAATGTGAATCACATCTGGAACTTTATATATTCTAGTAGTCACGTTAAAAAAAAAACAGCTAAATTAATTTTCGTAACCTTCATGTTTAGCCCCAAATATATAAAATATGATCATTTGAACATATCAATATAAAATTATTAATAATATATTTTACATTCTTTTTTCATTCTAAGACTTCCAGATTTAATATGTATTTAACACTTATAGCACATTTCAATAGATTAGCCACATGTGACTACTGGCTACCATATTGCACAGCATAGCTCTAGAAAAAGTAAATTTGAGGGCATAAGACACAGCTGAGAAAAGGTGGGAACACACTCTACTGAAACAAGGTGGCTAAGTAAAGTTCCCTACACTTAATGATGTGATCCCAGCCCATGCAGCTCGCAATCTCCTGCTGGCACCATGCCAACTTCTGTTATCCCGCAGCACCCTCATGACAATCAGAAGATGAGAGAATTCCTCTCTTGCAGGACTGTTTAACTCAAGAAAAAAGATCAACTGACAATAACATTTGAGACTTCTCTCCAATGACATAAGAGAGGGCTACTTAATGACCAAGTTACTCTATAATGAAACTTCTAGTTAACTTGTGTAACCCACAGAGGACTTTCAATCAGAATGTTAGTACTTTTAAAATATGAACAAACAGCACAAGATCAGTAGACATTTTAGGAAAGCCTCTAACACACACGAAAAAGGTAAAATAAACAAAAACAAAATAGAACTAGGATGAAACACGTGTAAGTGAGGGAGCAGAAAAAAACTTAACAACTATGATTAATACACTCAGAGATATGATAGAAGGCAGTACATTCATAAAACCAAAACAAGATGTTATGAGAAGAAACATTAAGAAAACAATGAAATTGAGAGAATAAATTAGAAAATTAATAGCAGTTTAGGAATGTGAACACCCAAATAATACTAGTTTCCCAAAGATAAAAGAGAAAAGTTAATGTGAGGAAGTCATCTAAGAACATGATAAAATTTATCAAGACAAAGATTTATATTTCTAAATTGGAATGGCATCTTAATTACCTAGAAAAATAGATGGGAAAAAAACCCAAATCAATGTACATTGTCCTGAAATTTCATACCACTAGAATTAAAGAGAGGATCCACAAAACTTCCAGAATACAACATGCCATGTGCAAGCACAGGAAATCGGAAAACAAGCCAGAAAACAAGGCTTTCAAAATTCTAAAGAAAAACAATCTCTATTTATACCAGTTGAACCACTGATCGAGCATGAGAATATAGTTATGCCATTTTCAGATATGAAAGGTCTCAAAAATCTACTTTTCTTCTGAAGAAAATACTGAGGAAGAAATTTGGTGTTCCACCCAATGAAAGAAGTAAATCAAAAAGAGGGATTGATAGGATTTAGAAAATAGGGAATTTAACACAGAATACCGAAGAGAATTCCCAGGACAATAACGAAGCGAAATCTCAAGATGACAGTCATTAAACAAGCCTAAAAAGCAACATGAACAAATTAGAGAAAAGAGGGCCACAGTAGCCAGAGGTAAAGAAAAAGTGAAGGAAAAATCAAATTGATAGATTCCATAATATGCTTGAAAATATTAAGACAAAATGTGTAGTTCTGACAAAAAGTTTAAGGACCGATAACTTTCAGTACACAGAAACAAACAAAACGGAGGGAATTTAATTTTAACTTTAGAGAAACTAAAAAAATTACACAAAAAAAGGGAACATAATCATAGTTCACTATGTGGTAAAAGAAATAAGTTGCTTTTCCCCTGCACGTGATTGTTTAAGAGAACTCTCCTGCTTCGGACTCCCAAATCATCTCTCACCACGTTTGTCCAAACTTCCATTTTGAATCTTGTTATTCTTGGTGTGTTCACCGCATTTTAAAATGTTCTTTCATTCTCCTGTTGCTGGAATTTCTCCTTCTAACTCCCTATATCCATGGTCACAGACGAGTTTACCCACTCAAGTTGAAATGCTGATCCCAGCTTCCCAAATTCCAATTCTCTTCTAAAAGCATATGCAGGACCTTTCTGTCAAAATAAATTCTTCCTTCTATGTTAACCGAAGCTCTGTGTTTTCTACTCTAGCATTTATACCAGTCTATCTCGCATCATATCCTTGTATCTCTCCACTGAGACACTGCTAAAACAGGAACAATTGTTCCCATGAATTCATTCTGGGAAGCACTGTCTAGATGCCACAGGACCAAGATTGTGCCTCTTCTTGAATAGGGCACCACAGTTCCTTCGGCACCTCGCCAGGTCAGATGGTAGACTGTTCTTTACATTCTCACCATCTTTTGTCATTGACTCTGGCTGCGTGCTTTCTATGATAAGCTCATCTCCACATGGTTCTGAGCTTCCTTTGCCCTGACCCACTCATGCCCTAATTCCCAAACTGTTTCTCTATTCTTCGTGAAAACTTTTCTTCCATTCTACACAAAATTCTCTCTCATCAGCTTCAATCTCCTCAAAAACTGTTCCCTCCACCTTTTCTGAGGTCCACACTGTGCATATCTATAGTACTGTATTTACCATTTTATTAATAAATTAACATATGTATTCATGCACCTGTTTCAAGCACTAGAATAAAGCCTGAATGCAGAATTGGGATAATCTGAATGTATTCCCTCAATAAATACTTACTGCATTGAACATAATATTACACAATTAAATATTCATAATTACAGACTGCAGACTCTAGTCTTCCCACTTTTTTCCCCTACTACAAATTGCTCTGCTGTTCCTACTCTGCTCCTTTTCTCACTCTATTTCTTTCCATTTTTCATGCCATCTACACAATTATACTTTCTAGTGGTCAGGGAAAGAAAATAAAAGAAAATAAAAAGATGAAAGAATGTTTGCTATCTCAACAATAAAAGAGGAAGCCAGGTTGTTGAGAAAGACTGTGTGGAGATGAGTGGAAGAAAACGCAGCTATTTCACCAGGAAGCAGGATATATATAAGTTAGAGAAACTTTCTGTCACTGTGAAAAAGAGAACGAGAATGGGAAAGTAAAAGAACAGTAACAGACAGAGAAGGGTGAAAAGAGTAACATTAAATAATGCTGTTAAGTGTAAGAAACAGAAAGAATTAGTGAAAAAAGTAGAAAGGAAAACAAGATTGAAAACCTTTATATGTCAGTGTGGGATATGTGTATGGACAGTGGGGAGGAGTCCATAGGCAGCAAAGACTCAAAAGTACACAAAATGATGACAGAATGCAGTCAATCTTTTGTCCCTTATTGAATGCCAGCGTACCTTGACACATTTTGGTACAGCCTTCCCATGGTCCATAGGGGTCCCATGTGAACAGCTCGCTCCGCTCTTCCAAAGGGATATTGAAGGAATAACGTACATCAGGGTTGTATAAATTACCCACACATAACACCTCAATAAGAATACAAAAGAACGTACAATTAATTCATAAAAAATATTCTTAAGATATCATTTTATATTTGATAACGTTAAGCACTTAACCAGTAGTTTACTAATATAATTAAATTTAAGTGTTATTATTGATGACTGAGAATTTACCTGCAAAATAAGTTCTTTCTCTTGTCGATTAGTACTATTAATTCTTTCAACTGAGTTGTTTGATCCACTGTATTCAATAACAGTTCTTGTTCCTTGCACATTGACTTCTTTCTTTGATCTACTTAGAACAAAATTTCCATTGAAAAGAAAATTCCCTTCAGCGTCAGATAATGCTGTAAAAGAATAATGAAATAGTAACACCAATCAACAATACAGAAAATACTTGTTTAACTTTTTTTTTTCTTTTTTCTTTTTTTTTTTTTTTTTTTTTTGAGATGGAGTCTTGCTCTGTCTCCCAGGCTGGAGTGCAGTGGCACGATATCGGCTCACTGCAACCTCCACCTCTTGGGTTCAAGCAATTCTCCTGCCTCAGCCTCCCTAGCAGCTGGGATTACAGGCATGCACCACCACGCCCAGCTAATTTTTGTATTTTTAGTAGAGACGGGTTTTCGCCATGTTGGCCAGGCTGGTCTCGAACTCCTGACCTCAAGTGATCCACCCGCCTCGGCCTCTCAAGTGCTAGGATTACAGGCGTGAGCAACCGAGCCTGGACTTGTTTAACTTTTAAAGTTCAAATCTTTTTTTGAAATTAAAGAATGCAAATGTAAATTAATGTTGAGGAAATAAACTTTATTTTACTATAATGTGGGATTTTATCAATAAGTTGGGTAACTTTAGCACATCAGCCAAAGATATTAAAATAAGTTCACTCTATACGTTTGTATCTCAGATGGTCATCTTCTTTCATGAGGCATGTAGCTTCAGAACAAGAAGTGGGAAAGCAGAAAGAAGTCATGACCCCAGCAGACAGATTAGTTCAATCATCCTGGTCATCAATGGTAGGGAAAGAAGGAGCAGCCAGACTGCTGCATCATTCCATTTATGCCTATCTTAGAAAAAAGGTACAAAGCTTTAAAACTCTAGGGTCAACATTCTAGGAGGCCATGCAATGACTATGCCATTCTCTATACAAACGTCTAGATCTTTCATAGAAAAGCCCTGTATCCCTGTTAATACATATGTGGATATCTGCTTTTCAGAATAATACTCCTATTTCCCTCTCTGTTCATATCCCCTTCTTGTTCTCTTTTTCCCAGTGACAGACATTAATATATGCCTATAGAATATGTATATGTGTGTATTTATTTATATGTTATATATACAAATAGACAATTATACAGTATGTATTAGAAATGCTATTTTTTAAATATAAAATTACATGTCACCCACAATCATGCAGTAGTAAAAAGAAATGAATGTGGAGTTAAAACAATGGATTTAAGTTTAAGTTGTTGCAATTAATGTTTATGTAATCTTGGATAAACCTCATACTCAGTTTCCTAAACTGCCTAATAGAAATAATAAAAATTTCTATTTCAGTCTTTTAGTCAAGATCAAGTTTGAAAAATGTTTGTAGGCGTGTGAACTGTAAAGTACTGTGCTATTTATTTTTAATTTTCAAGAGGATGTGTAATATCTAAAATTTTACACAACAAGAACCCCCATATTAATCAAATACTTTTTTGCTTGCTTTACTTAAGTTATACTTTTCAGTGGAAGAATAACCTTTTCGGAAAACATTTGTTTGACATTCCAGGAAACCTCACCGAAAGCACACAATTATCTATGGCTAAACTTTCTAATATAAATATAACACCCCTCTGAAAAAGCAATATTTAAGGGATTATTGTAAAATAAATTTGGTATTTCTGTGTATATGTAGACTAGTATAACTGTCTTTATGAATTACACTGAATTCAGTGAGGAACAAACAAAGTTCTATATTTAGTCTGTGACATAGAAATTCCTCTATTTAAGAATCTGTGCTTTATCAGATGTGGCTAGGTCTATTTAAGGGATTATTGGTTCTGTTAAACCTAAGGGAAATAAACAAAACCTTACTGGCTTAGAAAAAAAAAAAAAAAAAAACTACACATTTCACTACTTTTAGTTACCGAACTTCATAAATATAAATGTTTTAAAAATTCCTTCTATTGACATCACACGTCTATTTTACTCACTTCGACCTAGACTTTGATATTTCCATTTGTAATTCTCTCAAAAAGTATACTGATACTTTATTGGTGAGCATTTCTTTCTTTTTTTTTTCTTTCTTTTTTCTTTTTTTTTTTTTTGAGACAGAGTTTTGCTCTTGTTGCCCAGGCTGGAGTGTAATGGCACAATATCAGCTCACTGCAACCTCCACCCCCTGGATTCAAGCGATTCTCCTGCCTCAACCTCCCGAGTAGCTGGGATTACAGGCACCTGCCACCATGCCCGGCTAATTTTTGTACTTTTAGTAGAGACGGTGTTTTGCCATGTTGGTCAGGCTGGTCTCGAACTCCTGACCTCAGGTAATCCGCCTGCCTTGACCTCCCAAAGTGCTGGGATTACAGGCGTGAACCACCATGCACGGCCAACATTTCTAATTTTTAAAGTTGAGAAGAACCTGTGATCCAATCCCAGATCGATATATTTGTCTACATTTGGAATCTAAGTGATACCTATTAAATTATTTATTTCCAATATGGTAGCATATATCTATGTATATGTACTGAAGTAATATTTTTAGCATGAGGAAAAGAATTCCAACTAAACGTAAAAGGCTAATAATTCTAACTATTTACACTTGATTTTAATAAAATATTTTGCATTTTTTATTAAGGTGAAACTGATACAAAATTAACCATCGTTAAATGAACAATTCAATGGCATTTAGTGTATTCACAATGACGTACAACCATCACCTCTATCTAGTTCCAAAACCTGTTCACCCCAAAAGGAAACCTTGTACCCATTAAGGAGTTATTCCCTTTACATTTGACTTTATAGTTCCAAATGCAATTCCTGAGATAGGCTGTTCATTATAGATTCAGATTGCCAGTTACACAGGTTAATTATTTGAGTCAATAGTCCACATCTTATTAATGTACAGCAGATGCTTTCTCAATATCAGCTCTGCACCATTACCTACCAACTCCAGCTTGGTGAATTATAGATAACTCACTATTAAGATATTTCTAAGGCAGAAGGAAACGATTTTTAAAGCATCCTTTCCATATTTGTGTCTAAAGTGAAATTCTTTAAGCCTGAAAGCTAATTTCTAAAAATAAATAACATAAATTAAGTTTATACTTTAGAAATAGCTAACAGACAATATACTGTGACTATATTCATTAACATATAAAAACATGAAACCACAGTTCTTTTTCTGACTTTTTTAAATACAAGAGCTTTTAAAAACCTGTATTTAAATACTTTAGCTACATAGTAAAAAAAAAAGAAAAAAAATTAAGAAAACTATTTAAAACACTTAACCCCAAAGAATTCTATAACTAATATTAGACAAAATGATAGAAGAGTATTTTATTCTAAATACACATGCAACTAATTGAATATAACTTCTGGTTATCTAAACTATTCACATGAGAAAAAAACTGAAGACAAATTATTGTTCAGAATTTCATTGTTTTTTTTTTTAAGTAATGCATTTTGGATTGCTTAAGAACATATGTATAGGGAGCCCTAAGCTCAGCATGAAATGAAATTGCATGTTTGCTAAAGGGACTCTTGTTGCCTTCCAAGAATTTACATAAACTACAGACATCCATGAAATTGCAAAGAGCCACATACTGGCTGTTGTTTATGAGAAATGTTTACCAAGGTAACTGTCATCTGGTTGTCCAGAATAGCTGTACTGACGAATGTCAATGTTTGTTGCTCCTGCAGGAATCTTTACAACAACATTATAGCCTGCAATATAATTTTACATATGTTAAATTTCACAAAAAGCAGATGACCCAGAGGTTATTACTGCTGAATGAATGAAAAATATGAATACCATAGTCAGACCTAATTTTGTTGTGTCTTTACAAAATTACACAGTGGTTATTCCTTTTGAGTCAGTACATTACACAAATTGCTGAAGATTGAGAAAAAGTGGTTGTTGTCTAGAAACAGAGTTTAAGATTCTTAACTTTTCCTAATCTTTTCCTACTTCTAATATTCTTAATATAGAATGGAATAAAGCTAGTATTTTAGCTCCTGAGACACTTAGTTCACATATTCACTTTTAAGCTTGGTTAATGCTTTTGTATTTTATACTGGGAAAAAAATAGAGGATTTCAAATAAAATTCACAAGTCCAGGAGATATTAAAATAATTGGTCATTGCTATGATATGTTCACACAGCCTCAGTAAATAGCAAAATAATAAAAATTTTCAGTTTCATTATTGAAAAATCATAAAAAAGAAAAAGTTTAAAGCTCAAGTTTTTCTTGAGCTTTTAGTTTATAGTATAAGCAGGAATCCCTTTATCTACTCCCCAAATTTTACATTATTTTTACAAGAATACTAATAAACTTGTTATGAGAAAAGTAAAAAGTTTACTCAAGTGAAACAAATGTAGTATTTCCATTTTATGAGGCCAAATTCGGCAACATTGGCACTGCTCAAAAGAGGAAACATTTTATGTAACATATATTAAGAAAAAACATTTTCATGAAACTAAAAACACATTCCATAGTTGTCCAAATACTCAGGTTTTTAAATATACAGTTAGTTATACTCTAAGAATATTATTCTAAGTTTTTCCTTTTCCTTATTTATTAGGATTTCCCCCTATTTAATGAGTAAAAGAAGTAATTTTTCTCATACACTACCTTTGATAAATACGGAATTAACTTAAGAAGACAGTTTAAAAAGAGTTTAAATTTACAACCCTAATGTCAGACTATCTTGCATGTGTTTTAGAGCAGCCTTATTTATATCTAAGGCATCACATTTTTAGTGTAAGATGGTAAATAGTTTCATGATTCGGTATACAATATATGCATACTGGTTGTAGGTTATTGACCTACAAGAATAATTTTAATTAACCACCTTTTCACTATAAAATATTCTCACCCACTACTTTTACTATTTATGTCTTTACTATTTATTATATTTTTTTCAAGAAAGCAAGCCAAAGGCATTGCAAAGGTGATAAGATGAAGGCTACCACCAGGGGGCAGAAATGTGACAAATGCTAATCAGACCTTGCAAATAAGTTTAACATATTGTTCTATTTGCAAACTGATTAATGCACAGTACAATTTTCACAAGATTACATATTTGATCTTAATTTGGTTCATGTGGCTTTATCCTGGAAAAAAATTTTTCAGTAAATACAGACTGTAATAAGTATGTGCCATGCATTATATAAGGGAATCAAATGTGTGTAGCTCTCAAGAAATAACTAGAAAAATCATATATCAAATCATCTAGTAACCGAGATTCATAAATATCAGAGTATAAAATGTACTGTTTTACACATACATGAAAACATAAATATTAAGTTTTAAATTATACTGTTTTAATGGAAGTAAGTAACAATTTGAACACACATGAACACAATTTAAAGCTGAACGGTAAGACTGTAAAAAATAGGCTAGAACTTGAGAATCGTTTTGTCAAGATCTGCACCCATAAAGTGGCCACGGCGTGGCCTTTGTTGATAAACTGCTCTCACTTCACTGACAGATATTTTCTGATGTCTTGAATATAGCAACAGTGATCCTACAGTGACAGCTAACACTGGAAAAATTCTACAATGCAATTTTAACTACAAGATGTAGAAGAAAACACAGAAGACAAAGGTGAATGGAATTGACGGGTCAAAGGGTACAAAGACAAACTCCTTCCAGGAATGTTTGAGAGTGCCTGGTTATGTACATCCTTGCCAATATTAGGTATTATGATACTTCAAAATCTTTGTCAATTGATTTAATTAAAATTAATATCTTGAGACGGGTGGATCACGAGGTCAGGAGATCGAGACCATCCTGGCTACCATGGTGAAACCCCGTCTCTACTAAAAAATACAAAAGATTAGCCGGGTGCACTGGTGGGGGCCTGTAGTCCCAGCTACTCCAGAGGCTGAGGCAAGAGAATGGCGTAAACCCAGGAGGCGGAGCTTGCAGTGAGCTGAGATCCGGCCACTGCACTCCAGCCTGGGTGACAGAGTGAGACACTGTCTCAAAAAAAAAAAAATCTTGTTAAAAAAAAAAGGCTAGGTGTGGTGGTTCATGCCTGCAATTTCAGGACTTTGGGAGGCCGAGATGGGAGGATCCCTTGAAGCTAGGAGTTTAGACCAACCTAGCAACACATTGAGACCCATCTCTCCCATCTCTACACACACACACGAATTAACTAGTCATGGTGGTGAGCACCTGTAGTTCTAGGTACTGGGGATGAGGAGGTGGAAAGACTGCTGGAGCCCAGGAGTTCAGAGTTGCAATGAGCTATGATTGTGCCACTGTACTCCAGCCTGGCCAACAGAGTAACACCCTGTCTCTAAATAAATAAATGAATAAATAAGGTTGTAAGAAATAAATTTAATTTGCAAAAAAGGTTTTAAAAATCTGCTTTTATTATCATAAAAACAAAAAATCTTGCTCAGAAAACATTACAATGGAAAATATCTTACATATTCACATGATTTTTTGGAGAAAAATTAAATCATGGCCAATATGTGATCGAGATACTGCCTGGAAAATCAAATGTGGCAATAATTCTGAAACATTTAATTCAGGAAAATATTTAAGTTAATGGTTTCATCCTTCACCTTCAATCAACATTTTCTATGTACGATTAATAAGAAGTGTAACAGGCCAAGTCATACCAAAAAAAGAAAGTGATTCAAATAATGAAAATATTTGAAAGCAAGTTTCCTGGAAAAAAATCACAAATATATACATTTTAGGTTATAGGGAAAGAAAGCATTTCATTATGGGAAGATTATTCACATATCACACATCACAGTCAAACAGCACTGAATTTACTCTAATAAATGCACCTAATACATTTTTAAGAATCAGATTTGCCTGGGGCAGGTGAATTCATTAATCAAGGATACAGCTGGTCTAACACAGTATTTAATTTTTTTATATTTAGGAAATTTTTCCTTAACAATCATTTTGGACTAATGGTATAGAGTAGACAAAACAGTAACAAAGGATTACTATTACACATTCTTTACAGACTCCATTATTATACTAAATAAAAGGGAAAACTAGAAACAAATAACACAACTTACCATAATGAGAACTGTTGAAGACACCTGTTATTGTCTTGCATGAAGAGTTGTCCCCACCACACACTCCACATTTGTCTATCTTGGCACTGGAGTTTAACACGTGATCACAACCAGCTGCCTTCAAGACACAATTACAATCAATATTATAAGAATGACTAATTATGAAGAAAAGAGAGAAGATCCAAATACATATAATCAGAAATGACAAAGGGGATTTACCACTGACCCCAGAGAAATACAAATAACTCTCAGAGACTACTATGAACACCTCTATGCACATGAACTAGAAAACCTAGAAGAAATGGATAAACTCCTGGACGCATACACCCTCCCAAGACTGAAGGTGGAAGAAAGAGAATCCCTGGACAGACCAATAATGAACGAATTGAATCAGTAATAAGTAGCCTACCATCTAAAAAAAAGCCCAGGACCACACGATTCCCAGCTGAATTCTACTAGGTGTACAAACAAGAGCTGGTACCATTCCTACTGACACTATTTTAAAAATTGAGGAGGAGGGACTCCTCCCTAACTCATTCTATGAGGTCAGCATCATCCTGATACCAAATCCTGGCAGTCACACGACAAAAAAATAAAACTTTAGGCCAATATCCTTGATGAATACTGATACAAAAATCTTCAACAAAATACTTGCAAACCAAATCCAGCAGCAAATCAAAAGCTTATCCACCACCATCAAGTATACTTCATCCCCAGGGTGCAAAGTTGGTTCAACATACACAAATCAACAAATGCAATTCATCACATAAACAGAACAAAATACAAAAATCACATGATTATCTCAACAGATGCAGAAAACGCTTTCAATAAAATTCAACACCCCTTCATGTTAAGAGCTCTTCATGAAGTAGGCATTGAAGCAACATACCTCAAAATAATAAGAGTGATCTATGACAAACCCCCAAAGGCTATTATACTGAATGGGGAAAAGCAGGAAGAGTTTCCCTTGAAAACTGGCACAAGACAAGGATGACTTTCTCACCACTACTATTTAACATGTACTGAAAGTCCTGGCCAGTACAATCAGGGAAAAGAAAGAAAGAAAGGGCATCCAAATAGAAAAAGAGGAAATCAAACAATCCCTGCTGGTTGATGACATGATTATATATCTAGAAACTCCACAGTCTCAACCCAAAAGCTCCTTAACCTGACAAACAACTTCAGCAAATTTGAAAGATACAAAATCAATGTACAAAAATTAGTACCATTCCTACACACCAATAATAACCAACTTGAGACCCAAATAAGGAAGACAATCCCTTCACAATGGCCACCAAAAGAATGAAATACCTAGGAATACAGCTAACCAGGGAGGTGAAAGATCTCTACAATGAGAATTATAAAACACTGCTCAAAGAAATAGAGATGACACAAACAAATGAAAATATTCTAAATATTCTATGCTTACAGATGCGAAGAATCAATGTCATTAAAATGGCCATACTGCCCAAAGCAACGTATACATCCAATGCCATTTCTATAAAACTACCATTGATATTCTTTACAGAACTAGAAAAAACTATTTTAAAATTCATATGGAACCAAAAAAACAGCCTGAATAGCCAAAGCAATCCTCACCAAAAAGAACGAAGCTGAAGGCGTCATGCTATCCAACTTCAAACTATACTACAGGGCTACAGTAACCAAAACAGCATGGTACTGGTACAAAAACAGACACGCATACCAATGGGGCAGAATAGAGAGACCAGAAGTAAGTCCACACAGTTACAACCATCTGATCTTCAACAAAGCTGATCAAAACAAGTAATGGAAAAAGGACTCCCTATTCAATAAATGGTGCCAAGATAAATCGTTAACCACATGCAGAAAAGATTGAAACTGAAAACCTTCCTTACATTGTATAAAAAAAATCAACTCATGATGGATTAAAGACTTCAATGTAAAACCCCAAACTATAAAAACCCTGGAAGACAACCTAGGCATACCATTCTGGACATAAGAACTGGTAAAGATTTCATGATGAAGACACCAAAAGCAATTGCAACAGCAAAAATTGGAAAACGAGATTTAGTTAAATTTAAGAGCTTCTGAACAGCAAAAGAAACTATCAACAGAGTAAATAGGCAATCTACAGAATGGGGGGAAATATCTTCAAACTACACATCTGACAAAGGTCTGTTATCCAGCATCTATAAGGAACTTAAATAAATTTACAAGAAAAAAAAACCATTAAAAAGTGAGCAAAGAATATGAACAAACATCTTTTAAGAGAAGACATACATGCAACCAACAAGCATACGGAAAAAGTGCAATATCAATGATCATCAGAGAAATGCAAATCAAAACCAAAATAAGATAGCATCTCACGCCAGTCAGAATGACTACTATTAAAAAGTCAAAAAATAACAGATGCTGGAAAGACTGCAGAAAAGAGAACGGTTATACACTGTTGGTGGGAGTGTAAATTGGTTCAACCACTGTGGAAAGCAGTGTGGAGATTCCTTAAAGAGCTAAAAACTGAACTACCATTCAACTCAGCAATCCCATTACTGGATATATACCCAAAGGAATATAATTTGTTCTACCATAAAGACACATGCAGGTGTATGTTCATTGCAGCACTATTTACAATAGCAAAGACATGAAATGAACCTAAGTGTCTACTAATGGTAGACTGGATAAAGAAAATGTGACACATATACACAAAGGAATACTGTGCAGCCATAGAAAAGAATAAAATTATATCCTTTATAGGAACATTGATGGAGCTGGAGGTCATCCTCCTTAGCAAACCAACACAGGAACAGAAAGCCAAATATTACACATTCTCACTTATAAGTGGGAGCTAAATGATGAGAACACATGGGCACAAAGAGGGGAACAACACACACTGTGGCCTGTTGAGGGTGGAGGGTGGGAGGAGGGAGAGGATCAGAAAAAGTAACTATTGGATACTAAGCTTAGTATCTAGATGATGAAATAATCTGTACAACAAAACCCTATTACACGAATTTACCTGTATAAAATCTTGCATATAGACCCCTGAACCTAAAATAAAAGTTAAAAAAAAAAAAATGACCAACTATAAGAATGGTACTTTAAAGTTTACAAAGTTCTTTTCACAAATATCCTTTCAATTACCAGGAGATTCAGTACAACAGAATTGTTTCAAAATATGTACTCATCTTGTTGTATGTCAATATTTTCACATATCTATTTACATGGTCTAAAAAGTCATGTTTATTAAAGGGTCATCCACAGACCTCCTGCATCAACATCACATGGGGTGGTATTTAAAAAGACAGATTCCCAGATCTTCTGAATTATAATACTTGGAAATAAAACCTAGGAATCTGCATTGTAACACTGACATTGATTCCAATACGCACTGTCATTTGAAAACCGCTCTTAAAAGAAATGTAATTCAAAGAGACTAAAGAATGAGTATGTCAGTAACACATTAGAATACTCCAAAAAGATGTCTTTCATAGTTACTATTTTAACTCATGACCTTAGAACTCTGCAAATAATCTTAGTTTCAAATAAATATTTAAAAGCAACATTTTCTCTAAAACTAATACCCAGCATAACAGTGCTTATTTTAAAAACTGAATGAATATGCAAGTAGACGGCTTGTTCCAGAAATTTCAAAAAAACAAATGCAGCTCCTCTCCATGAAGAAGCTGTCCTCTGCATACGTTGCAATAACTCTTTCCGTTGTTTGGAATGGCCCTCTAAATTTAGTGATCAGTAAAGAAAATTTCTTAAGCCTCGTGAATTTTTTTATATACAAGGCAGATGTTTTCAAAATCAAAATTTTAAGTATATATTTTCTGAAAGTAGTATGCCTCTATATGTTCAGATAATCTTCATCATAACTTTTGCATTTTGATATGACTTTAAGCTGCTAATTTAAAGCACGATTTTTTTCAGGCCACTGAATAACCTTTTCAGTATTTAAGCTGTTTCCAACTTAAATTATTTTAATTCTCTTTGAACATCTCATTAGCTCTTTGGGTGAAGGGCCTTTATCACCCAGATAAGGTAATAGAGACTTGTTTACAGGGAGATTAAGTTTGCCCTATAGAGTTCCACTTTAACCAAAGGAATAAGTTCTTAAGATTATACTTATATTTTTAATTATTTTTTATTGTTTATTTTTAAATTGACAGATAACATTGTATGTTTTTATCATGTACAACGTGATGTTCTGAAGAATATCAATACATTAAGGAATGGTTAAATCTAGCTAATTAACAAATGCATAACCTCACGTAGTTATCATTTTTGTGGTGACAGCACATATCCACTAAAAACAGAACTACCATATGATCCAGCAATCTCACTACTGGATACATATCCAAAGGAAACGATATTAGTATATTAAAGAGAGATCTACACTCCCATGTTTATCACAGCTCTATTCACAATAGCCAAAATATGAAATCAACCTAAGTGTCCATCAGTGGATGCATGGATTTAAACGATGTGGTTTATATACAAAATGGTATATTATTCAGCCATAAAGAAGAGGAAACCCTGCCATTTGTGACAACATGGATCAATCTGGAGGACATTATGTTAAATGAAATAAGCCAGGCACCAAAAAACAAATACCATATGATCTCATTTATATGTGGAATCTAAAAAAGTTGGTCTCATAGAAGTACACTTACTATATTCTTTAGACCACATTCACTAGCCTAGTTCTCAAACTTGCCATCCATTCTCAAGATTGCCATTGCAATGTTTGTGCTTTAACTCAGCATCTCATCAGCTCTGACCTAGACCACCTGTCTCCAATCTTCTAAATCCAATATTTTGAAGATTCCAATAGGCAAACTGAATCACATCTCTCCCTTGACTTCAAATGCTTCTATGTGTTTCCAAGGAGTTAAGAAAAAAAAAGTGCATTTGACAACCATCTGCTGGTCCCTAACTCCAACTCTGCTCCCATAATTCCTCTCCTTCTAAAACCTACTCATTTCGATACTTGGCACAAGTCTCATGCGCTCCATGAAAGGTTCTGTGAATCCTTTACCCACCTCCCCATAAAATAAGACACTCCTTCTTCAGTAACTCCGTGCTACCTTGCAGATGACCCATAGCACTACATTGTAATTGTTTACGTGCCTATTTCCCCCACAAATCTGTGACCATCTTGGAAGTGGGGTTCTCTGCTCCAATCTTTTATCCTGGTGACTTGAACAGTATCTGACATCTAGTAGCTACTCAATCAATGTTTGTTGAATGCACATAAAAGTAAGTGACAGAGAGCTGGAAAGAGGAAGGGAGAATATCAATGGTTTTAACGGTAAGGAAAACGTTACTGTAGAAGGTTACATTTAAAGTAGCAAAATCACTTTACAATCCTTGTATCCTATTATTTTCTATCTTTTAGGAAGCTGACCTCATTTCTATTTTGATTATGAGTACAATAGACCATAGGAAGTCAGAAAATTTAACTTAATGCTTTGTTGAGGCATTTTTGATGACAGAGAATCCCCAGTAACCAGGCTAACTATACTTCTATAGATAGCATGATAACAAAGGTTGCTTTGTTGGAATGCATAAGAACATATACTGAGATAGTAAAAGTAATATTTGGTTATATAAATAGAAAAAAAAATATTCTTAAAGTCACTTTAAATATAACAGAAACTTACAGTTTACTTACCATACACCGGCCTTGAACACAGATGTCATGAGTTTCATTTCCACAAGGAGTACCATCTTCAACCATATACTTCAATAGGTAGAAATCATTGGTTCCAGCAACCTGACAGTAGAGTTTACAACGATCTTTTGTGCGAACTGTAAAAAAGAAAAAGGTCACATTTTTAAATGTATAATAATAAAGCTATGTGTTCTTATGTCTCAGAAAAATTTACATCAAAGAAACAGCATAATTTACTTACTGCCACTGTATCTTGGAAGCCACCTCACATTAGAGGGAATGCCATTGATGTTCAAATGTTTGCCATTAAAATCAGAGCATTGCTTCTCTCGAAAGTCTTGTGTGCCTTTTGGACATGAATCAGTATTACATGATCGAAATTTCATCCTGCGGCCCACACAGTAATTTCCTCCGTTTCTTGGCCTAGTCAAATTCATTACATTTTAAAGCATATCAGTACAACATTATTTGTGCCACTTACTTCTAAAAGTTCCAGTCTTTTCTAGGATCTAGAAAACCAATGAAGGCCCACTAACACTTTTTTTAACAGAAGTATGTAACATGAGTTTTAAGCAATTCTATGGATAATGAACCACTAAAATATCCACCTTAGCGTGGACAGTGAGCCTAGAGGGCAGAAATGATATCTTATTCTTGACTAGGTTAACTAGCATGAAACCAGAAATGGAAGTTTGTTCTTCCAAAAAAGGGTTTGCTCATTTTCTGGAAAGAATAAAAGACATGTAGTAAGCCAAAGACAGTAACAAAGGCAGAGGCCTTGTTAAATAACAAGAAAATACATACACATCTTTTTCATGTATATCTTATTTATCACTCAATTTAAGGAGTTTTATGGTATCAATCTACATCCATGTTATTTTGGCTTATGCCAGAAAAAAAAATTTTTTGCAGAATTTTTGGAATATAAAGACTTCTAGTATAATTTATCCTAAAATTTAAATGAACTAAGATTTTATTCAGAGTAAGTCACATTTGTGCATTAAAAATGCTTATTAATAATACTTTAAGTAAAGAATATCATATTGCTTACCAACTTCTATATCATGTATACAACAGAAACATTAATTTAAAATCTTAATGCAATATGTAAGCTCTTTTAAATAGTTTGATGAGGGGGATATATGCTTTAGTACTTATTCAGCTAAAGACAATGATGCATCTATAACACAAGAAGCAGAGAAAGGAAAATATCACATGTCACATTGCACAAAACAGTAAAAAAATCGGTAACCAAACTATATATGCTGTCCAGAAGATCCAACACATACATGAAAGGAGCCAGGATGTTTCACTAGGCATACGGTAAATGTGAAAATGCCATTATATAACTGTCATTCACACTTAAAAGTATGTCTCAAAATTTATACTAAATTAAAAAACAAAACATAAAATGAAGAAAATGGATCTCAGTTCAGTTTATAAAATTTAATCTATTTAGGGTTTTTTTTTTAATGTCTGAATCTACCAAAATATAAATCAGTATGACTTAAAGTGTTCCAGAAGTTTTCTGAATCTCAGAAACTTACGGACTGACCTCCAGTTTTAGAAGTGAGTGAAACTGATGTTTACTTTCTGGTGCCTTGAGATAATCTTAATTTATAGTGACATAAAAAAGACATACTCAGGACGATTACAGTGCCTGGTTGAGCTTTCGATTCCACCTCCACATGTTCTTGAACAAGAACTGTAAGGTTCCCATGGTCCCCATTCACCATTTACAGGATGTGTTTCCATTTCTTTGTTTACACATAGCCCACGGCGGCAATGCTATAAAAATAATAAGCACAAAAAGAAATGATGTGTGCCTCTAAGTAGAACATCACAAAAATTGTAATAGCAGCATAAAGATCAATAGAAGAATAAACTAAACAATTTGAAGCAAGTTGTTTTTAATTCAGGTTACATTTGAAACCATTTTATGAATATTTCCTACCTACTGAGTAAGATCTGTGGAATACAAAAGGAGTGTAATATTTCTCTTGGCTTTAAGATTTAGTGTCACTGGGGAGGAAGGAAAAATTAAATAGTAAAATGGAATATGAGGGGTATTTTTTGAATAGAAGAGCCAAATACTAGGTTAATATGGTATATTTCCATCCTTCCATTTTTTTACTCAAAGTATCTATTCACTCTTCCACTCATAAAAAGCTTTCTACTTTATCCTATCTGAAGTCTCAGATGACAACCTTGTTTCTTTACTTTCATCAAGAAAATGGAAACTTACAGAAGAATCTACCCACAGTCTCTCACCACCTGTTCTACTCATTCAACAGCATCTGCACTCATACATTCAGACTTGCTACCTGTTAGCACACATGGAAAATTCCCTGTCCCAGACAAAGTCAACCCCTCTGCTTGTGCACTTAATCCCATCCCTTCTCACTACACCAAACATCACTCCAGCAATTCTCTCGTCTCTTCTACATCATCATTTCAGTGACAGCTAATCAAGTATGACCATGCACTCATGCCAGTCTATGAATTAGTTACCAGACTGAGAGAAGATAACACAACTTGAGAGTAAGCATTTCGAAATTTTTGTAAGATTTTTACAGAGAAATTTTATATCTAAGCAAATAATTTAAAAATTGTCTTATGTTTATTTTTAATTGCGGCAAAACATGCATAACATAAAATTTACCATCTTAGCCATGTTTAAGTATATAGTTAAATAGTGTTGTGTATATTCATTGTCATGCAACCAATCTCCAGAACTTTTCCATCTTGTAAAACTGAAGCGCTATGCTCATTAAGCGATAACTCCCATTTTGTCCTCCCTGCTACCTCCTGGTAACCACCATTCTACTTTCTGTTTCTATGAATTTGACTACTCCAGATACTTCATATAATTGAAATCCTATAGTACTAGTCTTCATGTGACTGGCTTATTTCACTTAGCATAATATGCCCAAGCTTCATCCATGTGTCAGAACTTCATTTTTAAAAATGAATAATATTCCATTGTATGTTGTCTCAGTCCATTTTGTGATGCTATATAAGAATACCCAAGATTGGATAATTTATAAATAACAGAAATTCATTGCCCACAGGTCTGAGATCTGGGAAATCTAAGGTCAAGGTACAGGCAGGTTTGGCGTCTGATGAGGCCATTCTCTTCTTCCAAGATAGCACCTTGCACATTGCAGCCTCTGGAAGGAGAGAATGCTGGATCCTCACAGGGCACAATGCAGAAGGACCGAGACAGCTCACTCCTGAAGGCTCTTTTATGAGGCACTAAACCCACCTAGGAAGGAAGAGCCTTTATGCCCTAGTATTATCAAACAGGCGCCATCTCCCAATACTGTTACATGGGCAATTAAATTTCAATATGAGTTTGGGAGGGGGCAAACATTCAAACCATAGCATATGCATTTACCACATTTTATTTTATTTATCCTTTTATCCATCAATGGGCACTGGGTTGCTTTCATCTTTTTTTTTTTTTTTTTTTGAGATAGAGTCCCTCTCTGTCACCCAGGTTGAAGTGCAGTAGCATGATCACAGCTTACTGCAACCTCCACCTCCCACGTTCATGTGATTCTCCTACCTCAGCCTGCCGAGTAGCTGGGACTACAGGTGCACACCACCACACCCAGCTAATTTTTGTACTTTTAGTAGAGACAGAGTTTTGCCATGTTGGCCAGGATGGTCTTAAACCCCTGCTTTCACCTTTAGATATTGTGAATAATGCTGCTATGAGCATGAGTGCACAAATATCTCTTTGAGATCTTGCTTTCAAATATTTGGGTATATATCCAGAAGTAGAATAGCTAAATCATATGATAATTCAATTACTAATTTTGTGAGGAATGGCTGTTTCCCATACTGTTTCCCATAGAAAAATTTGGCTTATATTTTGAATGTTTTTTCCATTTTATTTTCCTAGTCAATAATTTTTATTACTTTGTACAAAAGTATCAATTTATAATCAGAAATTTTAGAAAAGAACGAAGACAATCTGTTACTACAGATAATTTGCAAAGTAGTTCCCTAGATTATTCTCATTAACACACAAACGCAGCTCTTATTTCTCTCACTTTCAGAAAACAATAGCAACAACAAAATCTTTCTTATATCTCACTGCCCTTACCAGTTACTGCCCTGCTTCTCCTTGAAAGAGCCGGCCATGTTCTTTCTTTAACTCCTTGTTTATTCTCTCATAACCCCGCCCCAACCAGGTTTTTATATCCTATTCCTCCATGAATCTGCTCAAATTGCTAGAAATGCAAAATGCTTGTTCCCTGATGCTGCAAAGAAATATCACTCAAACAATTTTCTCAGCAAGGCAAATTTTCCTTTCTGCAAAAACGGTGCTCCTCGCAGATGGAACAATGGCAAGAGCACATCTGGACAGGGCAGGGGCAGGAGTTCTTACTCCTGACACAGAGAACCCCTACTGCTGTGTCATTCCCCTACTGGCTAGGGTTGGACTGCACAGTCTAAGCTAATTCCGACTGGCTATTTTAAAAAGAGCAGGAGTATGAGCCGGAATGGCAGGGTGAGTAGTTTGGCAAGAAGGATGATTAGGAACAGGTAACTAAAGATGACTTAGGTCAGAACCGGTGACCAAGAGAACAGATGTGAACTACTGTTTAGGAATGGCAGGAAAGTTCTTTACTGAAACTAGAGGCAAGGAGGCAAAGAGAGCCAGGAAGTTAAACTTTAAAATGGAGATTCAAAGAATAAGAGAGCTGAACATACTGACATACTGATTCTTTGAAGAGAAACTTGGGGTTCACTATATTTAACAATGTGTAGGACACTAATGGCCAGTTCTCATTCTCTGTCTTCCTTATCAGCAATACGTGCACAACTAATCACTTTTCTTCTTTGACATACTTTTTTTCTCTTCATTTCCAGGGCTCTTGGTTTTCTTCCTTTCTTCATAATTAATTGTTCTCATTTTCTTCTGTTGTTTCTTCTTTTTTGTGTGACAACTTAGTGTTGGAATGTTTCTCCAGGCTCACATCTCAGTTTTTTTATTCTTTTCTGTTAACAGTCACTTCTAGTCCAGATCTCTCTCTTAAATTATCTTCTTTGTGACAACTTAATGTTGGAATGTCTCTCCAGGCTCATATCTTGGTTTTTTAATTCTTTACTATTAACAGTTACTTCTAGTCCAGATCTCTCTCCTAAACTCCAGACTCATATATATGCCTACTTACTTATGACTATTTACTGGAATGTCTAACAGACATTTCAAGCACAGCATATCCAAAAGAGAATTCCTGCCCTCCCAACTCAAAACCCACTTTTACAGAGTTGATCTAAGTTGTTCAGCCAAAAGCCTAGTCATCATTTCTCTTCTTCTTCGAACACTCCACATCTGATACATTAACTAGAATAAATGTTCTACTTCCTTTTAAAATGTATCAAAAATTGACCTTACATTATCTCACTACCATCACTCTGATTTGAGCACTAGCATCCCTTACTTCTATCACTGAAATAGCTAAGTAGATGTTTCCACTCTTGTGCTTGATAGGTTAGCCTTAACACAGTTGCTAGAATGATCTCTTTTTAAACTAAGTCAAATCAGGTATGAATCCATTCAAATCCTTCATTATTTTACTTTGAGTAAATACGCAGTTCTCACAATGGCCTGTGTGAACACCAAAAATTTAAGACGGTCTCAGTTAATTTAGAAAGTCTATTTTGCCAAAGTTGAGGACATGCCCATGACATAGCCTCAGGAAGTCCTGACGACATGCACCAAAGGTGGTCAGGGCACAGCTTGTTTTTACACATTTTAGGGAGATATGAGACATCAGTCAATACATAAGAAGTACATTAGTTCTCTCCAAAAAGGCGGAGACAGCTCAAAGCAAGCCCCTCCCCACCCCCCACTGGGGACTTCTAGGTCACAGGTAAGTGAGAGACAGATGGTTGCATTCTTTTGGGTTTCTTATAAGTATTTCCAAAGGAGGCAATCAGAATATCCATCTATTTCTGTGAGCAAAGTGATGACTTGAATAGAATAGGAAGCAGGTTTGTCCTGAGACCTTCTCAGCTTGAAGGGTCCTAAGATATTTTTCTTTTACACCTGCAATGCCCTACGAAATCTTCCTTCAGCTTCTCCTTATACGTCTCTTTCTCTCTTCACTTCACTCCAGCTAAAATGTCCTTCTTGCTCTTCTTTGAACACTCCAGGCACACTCCAGACTTAGGAGCTCAGCTATTCCCTTTCTTGGGAATTCATTTACCCCAGATATCCTCATAGCTAACCTTCTCACCTCCTTTAAGACAGCTAATTTGGTAACTTCATATAATGTCTGTCCTAACCATCATATTTTAAATTGCAATCTGCCCTCTCCTACTATAAAACTTCTAATCAGCTTTCTGCTCTATTTTTTCTGATCCATGGCACCAACCAGTTTGATGGTACTATTATATTAATTATTTATAATATTCTAGTCTCCCTCTAGAACATAAGATACATGAGGGCAGAGATCTTGTTGAGAGACAGGACTAGCTGGATTTCCTAGGCCGACTAAGAATCCCTAAGCCTAGCTGGGAGGGTGACTGCATCCACCTTTAAACACAGGGCTTTCAACTTAGCTCACACCCAACCAATCAGGTAGTAAAGAGAGCTCACTAAAATGCTAATTAGGCAAACACAGGAGGTAAAGAAATAGCCAATCATCTATCGCCTGAGAGCACAGCAGGAGGGACAATGATCCGGATATAAACCCAGACATTCGAGCCTGCAACAGCTACCCTCTTTGGGTCCCCTCCCTTTGTATGGGAGCTCTGTTTACACTCTATTAAATCTTGCAGCTGCACTGTCTTCTGGTCCATGTTTGTTATGGCTCGAGCTGAGCTTTCACTCACCATCTACCACGGCTGTTTGCTGCCCTCTCAGACCTGCCACTGACTTCCATCCCTCCGGATCCAACACGGTGTCTGCTGTGCTCCTGATTCAGTGAGACACCCATTGCTGCTCCTGATTGGGCTAAAGGCTTGCCATTGTTCCTGCATGGCTAAGTGCCTGGGTTCATCCCAATCGAGCTCAACACTAGTCACTGGGTTCCATGGTTCTTTTCCATGACCCATGGCTTCTAATAGAGCTGTAACACTCACCGCATGCCCCAAGATTCCATTCCTTGGAATCCATGAGGCCAAGAACCCCAGGTCAGAGAAAACAAGGCTTGCCACCATCTTGGAAGCTGCCTGCCACCATTTTGGAAGTGGCCCACCACCATCTTGGGGGCTCTGGGAGCAAGGACCCCCAGTGACATTGTTTTGTTAACTCATGTATCCTACAGCAACAGAAGAAAATGAGGAATAGTGTACCTAAAATAGTGCCTGACATAGTAGGCCCTTGATAAATCTTTGCTGATTGAATGAATCCTATAGCCAAGCTTATAGCAGTAAAAATGCTTTGTGCTCTCCATTAGAAAAAGTCATTCAATATAAGAAAGCCATATTAGAAGTGGAAAAAAAAAATCATAATGTGCTGTGTGCATGTGCATTTTGTAAGCATCTTGCATGAACAATTTAAGTAATCCTTACTCTTTTTAAAAAATAATTTGAGAGACTAGAGCATGAAAATGTTATAATATTATACTATTCACCATGTAGTAAAATTAAGTCATTATCAGAAGGGTTCACCATGTCTTCACACAAATTGATTTACTAGCAAAAGTGTTCAGCACACAGACTCATTAGATAGTCACAAGATAAACAGAATAAAGAAGAATGTTAAGGCAAAATTATAGAATATTTGTTTCAAATGTCCCTTCAATAAAAGGTTTATTTAATACTGAATACAGCTAAATATATAGGGGTTCACTCTGTTTTATTAATTTTAAAAAGAGAATTTATATCTATTATAATCCACATGATGCTACCCCAAATACCACCTTTGCTTTTAATTTGTATTGGCTCTAAAGTAAATCTTAGCGTTTCATCACGTTTACCTTGAATCTCAATAAATCCATGCCTATCCTACCATCTCAATGGGAAAATATTCAAATGACTGATAAGCACATGAAAAAATGCACAAGGTTGATAATAATCATGGAAATACAAGTTAACCACAATGAGATTCCATTTTATACCTAGTGGAATGGCCAAATATTTTTAAAAGACTAACAGTATCAAAAGTCGGCAAGAAATACAGAGTAACTGGAACTTTCCTCCATTGCTGGGGGGAGTCTAAAATGGTGCACATACTTCAGAAAATTGTTTGGCACTTTCTTATGATGTTAAACATACACTTACCCTATCATCCAGCAATTCGATGCCAAGAGAAGAACAAACATATGTCTACAAGAAGACTTGTATAGGGACGTTCATGGCAGTTTTATTCATAATAATCAAACACCAGAAATGATTCAATATCTATTGACAGGAGAATTGATAAATTACAGTACATCTGTATAGCTGAATTATATTGTGGTATAAAGGAATGAACTGCTAATGCACACGATAATATGGATGAAGTTTAAAAATATGTTGAACAAAAGACGCCTGTTCCATTCCACTCCTTCAAAAAAGAGGACGCTCTTTTTTGACAAGAACAAGAAAAAACGAATCTCTGGAAATAAAAATCAGAAAAGGAGTTTTCTCTGGAAGGAAGGAAAGTTGTCTCGAAAGAGGCACAACTGAATTTTTGTTGTTGTTGGTTTATTTATTTATTTTTTGAGAGGAAGTCTCACTCTTGTCCCCTAGTAGTGCAATGGCGTGATCTTGGCTCACTGCAACCTCCGCCTCCCAGGTACAAGCGATTCTCCTGAATCAGTCTCCTGAGTAGCTGGGATTACAGGTAGCTGCCTGCCATCATGTCTGGCTAATTTTTGTATTTTTTGTAGAGACAGGGTTTCGCCATGTTGGCCCGGTTGGTCTTGAACTCTTGATCTCAGGTGATCTGCCTGCCTTGGTCTCCCAAAGTGCTGGGATTACAGGCCTGAGTCACCGCACCCAGCCACAACTGAACTTTTTAAAGTGATAGAAATTTTTATTGGGATGTTGGCTATATGTGCATCTACATTTGTTAAAATTCATCAAATTGTATACCTAAGATCTATGCATTATACTTATATATACCTTAATTTCAAAAAATCATGTTTATGCCCTAACTGGATTTAGAATATTAATAAATTAGCTATAAATAGTATATCTCTTAATATTTGTAAATATATCAATTACTACTTTTGCCACAGGCAATCAATCCTGAAGGTTCATGGCATACAGTAACTTGAAAAGTTGCTGAGGAACAGAGGAAGGTGCCAGTCCTGGATTTTAATCAGGTGAACATCTTCAAATTTGCCAATATCAGCAGCCCAGCATTCATACTTCGAAAAGATTTTTTTTCCTCTGCTCAGCCTCAGGTAGTTACTCTCATAAATGCCACCTTTTACTCAAAAAGCTATCTACTAATACTAGTCACAGGAACTGAGAAAAAAGTAAAGTCCTTTAAATAATTCTTATCCAACAAATAGAAATGTTATATAAATATCAAATTTTAAAATTCAAAGCCAGCTGAACTGAAAAAGCCCACTAGAACATTCATCCTAAAATTGCAAAAAGGTTATTAGTGTGTTAGATGATTTCAATGAGTACTTCAGCTGCTACAAAACTTGAAGTTCCAAATAAAATATTAGTAACCAATTAATTTGTGATGTGAGCAATATTCATAGGAAACACACACCTTTTGATGCAAGTAACTCAAGAGAAAAGCAATAGCTAGTATAAATATTTCAATGAAGCAAGAGGTGGTAAAGGCACAAGTTCAGCTACTAAACTGACCTTATTTTTAAGAAGTTTATCTTTTTTGGCTAATATGAAGATAACAAAGAGGCAGAATTAGCCAATCCATTGCCAAAGAAGTGTTCCTTTTACACTGAGGGAGCTCAGAGATGCTGACAGACTAAACACTTAATGTAGTCAACACTGGCCACTGAGGTCCTGGAGCACAAAGTACACTCTGACTTCATCCTCTCACAAGACACTTTTCATTATCATGGTAAGCGTTATCATTCAACATCATGTTTACAGTTTTAAATAAGTTCATGACTGTTGGAATAATAAAGACGCAGCACAGTAGGTGGTTGATTTTAGCAGTATAATGTATCTTGATACACTTAGAAACAATAAGGTCTAAAGAAGCCACTTAAAACTTTCAATTGTATTAACTGAGTTTCAAGGGAGAAAACATGAAATGGAAACATCCCTGAATTTGTAGAATTTGCCAAAATATTAGGACTGTTATATCTGTCCTCAATTTTAATAACAATGCTATAATATACATAGATAACTATATATCCATGTAATTATTTATATGCTAACTATATAAAACTTTAATATTCATCTGCCATAGCTTAGAAATAGGGTACAATTAAAAATTTAATTCAGTTGACAATGTACTATATCAAACATGGCAATAATAATTCAACTAGCTGAAGAAAAGTTGACAGCAAATAACAAACAGGGTGCGAAAATGCAGAGCAATCACATCCTTGGATAATATCTTTATACAAGACTCACCCTTCAAGAAAACCTACCATTCCAGGACCACAGTCTGTTCCATCTGCTGGTGGCACATGTTGAGTGAAACAGCCTTTGTGAAGCTTTTCTGCACTTGTGCACCACAGATGCATGCATATATTCTCCTGAGTAACAAAAGGCAGGCAAGCCAGTGTAAGGATAACACTACAACACTGGTTCAATTCAGTACTACACGTTGGTTTATAAATTGATCTATTTCCTGGTTCTATGGTAGAAGCTGAAACTAATCAGCAAATTTTTTTACTAAGTAAGTTCTAGTCATTAATTTTCTTCTAAATACATAAAATTGTGACATTTTCTTTAAAACATTTTTTTAAAAACTTTATTCATACATAGAATAGGAGTTATAAATTGGAGTGGAAATTTTCAAAATTATTTGAGATAGTTTTCTCTCTTTGCAAGATATTTTTCTAAAGAACTTTTTATTGTTAAATGTTATTCATAAGAAGTTGCCAGAAGCCGCTTTCGATACAATGGTAGAATGTATGAATAATCTGCATTGAAATAATGTATAATGTATACTGAAGATTCCTATTTTGTGAATATAATGCATACTTTCAACATTTGAACAAAGGGCTCTGAAGTTTTCGAAAGAAACAAAAGTCCACAGAGGGTCATATGAGCTATACCCAATATGATTCATTTCTTTTTTTGAATTTAAATTCAAAATTTATTTAGTGTCTAAATCAGATTGGAAAGAAATGTATCTTTTATAATGATATTTTAAGGTAAATCTTCCCCACGTCACCGTGAATGTTTAAAGGCTTATTGAAATTTAAGGTTTTAGGAAGAATAGTCACTATGTGAAATGAGCTTTGCCTGTCCTGCATTCTCTAATTAATCCATTCATTCAACATTCAATAAGCATTTATTTTGTGGCATGTACTGTGTGACAAATCCTAAACTAGACCCTCGGAATAGACATAGATATTTATTTTAATGACTGAGTAAGTCATTGGACCATTCCTGGTCCAATGATCCTCACAACCTAGTTAGGTAGGGAAGCAATTAGGCAAAAATATATAGGGAATAAGGAAAACTGAATGAGTACTCTACATGGAAAAGTAAAGCATGGATTCACCAAAGCAGTGACATTTATTCTAAACTAAATCCTAAATTTACACCCATATAAAAGAAAATCATAATTATAGATCCAATAAAAGTGTTAGGATCAACTATTTCAATGAAAAAAGTATCTCGTCTATGAAAAATCCTCAAAATATTATAAAATAATAGCTCAATGAAAACTAAACAATATGCTCCAAATTTAATTCTTTTGGATTCAAATATATGTAAAGGAAAATGCACTCTATTAGTTAGATTCCTGGTGCCTTTAAAACAATTCAGATTCAAAACACCTATATTTTCTCCTTAAACTCGAAATAATATCATTTGAAAATTAATATTTCAATGCTTTTAATTTTCAAATGATATAACTTCCCTATTTTCTAAATGAGAATACTGCATAGGGATTTGTGAGAGTTAACAAAGATAAGTTTTAAGTACCCCAAACAGTACCTGACACATAATAAGTAGTCAATAAGTTTTAATTTTCCTTTTCTTAACCTCTTTTTGACGAATACTAAATTATCAGACTTAAAAGCTATATTTAGTTCAAGAGAATAAACACATTTTGAAATATATTCTAAGCATAACTTTATGGTAGTTTTCAAACAAAATAAAGGAATTATCTTTTCTTACTATATGGGGACATATTTGTGACCCGGGACCAAACGCAAGTTCACACTGCTTGTTTCCATCATATCGTGATCCAGGAAGTTCTGAAGGCAGATTATATATTTCTTCATCTGGTTTGTCAAGAAGACATTCCCCGTAGCCAGTACTGTACCAATGACAGAAAATAAAATATTACAAATACAGTGGATGCATTCCAGTATGATTCTTTATCACATTTTCTGTAGTTCTTTACTTTCAAAGAAAATATCAGTATTTATTCATAACTTAAAAAACCAACTCACATCACTATCAGTATAGCAATGTTCCTACACATAAGGATGACCTCACAGCTTACAAAGGACCTTTAATATGCATGTTTGCACTTGATCCCCACAACCACCTTGAAGGTGGCAATTTTAAAAAATGATAAGCAATAAACAGAAATTCATCAGAACATTATTTATGAAACCTACATCCATATCACACTTTTGGTCTACTTTGCTATCCAATAGTAATGCCTCAAGTGTAATGACTAACTGTTAAAATGTTAGAAAAACAAGTTTTAAAATCACTTGAGAAAGTATATTCCTAGTCCTAAACAACAACAACAAAGAAGCTTCAAAAAGTTGTATGCTGTCTCCACCTCAAGAGGTCTTTAGAGGAGGGAATATAGCAGAATCGATCACTGGTTTTGGGAGCTTATATTTTGGTTCCATCAATTCCCAAGATGCATGGCCATGGACAAATTTTTTAATCTCCCTATCTCCCTGAAACACAGTCTCCTCATCTGTAAATTGACAGTGGTAATATATTTTTAGGATGCTATCAGAATACATGATAGGTTTGAATGACTTAGGAAAACACATGAGAAACATATATATTACTCCTAATTTACCACGCAATGTCCAGTATGCAGAAAACTCTGTGGAAATATACAGCTATTCCAATTGGGCTAAGAGCAACAATTTGTCCCACTGCAATAATTAAAATAAATCTTTTTTTGAAAAATTTTACTGGCTAAAAGGAAAAATATAAATTTTCCAATTAAATGAACATATAACCTTAAAAATTTCCTGGGGGGCGGAGCAAGATGGCCTAAAAGGAACAGCTCCAGTCTCCAACTCACAGCACGAACGACACAGAAGACCGGTGATTTCTGCACTTTCAACTGAGGTACTGGGTTCATCTCACTAGGGAGAGCAGGACAATCGGTGCTGGTCAACTGCTGCAGCCCGACCAGTGAGAGCTGAAGCAGGGCGAGGCATCCCCTCACCTGGGAAGCGCAAGGGGGAAGGGAATCCCTTTTCCTAGCCAGGGGAACTGAGACACACAACACCTGGAAAATCGG